GGATCCGGGGGGGAGGACCGGGGGGGGGGGGGGGGGGGGGGGGAAGCGTGTCGCCGAGAGTGCTCAAGAGATGGCGCTCTGCTCGATCGAGGCCACGCTTCCTCCTCACCCTACGTACTCCACTGATCTTCCCCTCCAGCTCCCCCCTGCCCGAACTCCCTCCGCGATTGCTAACAAAGTGTTCGCTGTCTCTCGTTCTCCAAGGGTACCTCTCTCTCGCACTCAAGGGGCCGTGAGTTAGATACAGCCTACACAATTACTTTCACTCACGAGGAAGAGCGACTGACGCGCTCGGCGTATCCACGATGACTGACCGTTCTACGGCGCGGCTAAGTTATTAAACCCTCTTCTATATTTTCCCGCGCGGAGCGTTTTTCCCGCGCGAAGCGTTTCTCCCATCGCGACTCGACCTTGACGTTCCTAAGAGGGGGGCGACGACGATATCTCGCGCTGTTTTTAGCGCGCAATCCGCTATCGCGATTCTTAAGGGATGCGCGATGCTCCCAGCGCGCGATCCGCGAGCGGATGCCGGGTATCCGGCGCCGAGGGAGACGGAGGATTATCGGGGGACTGTTGAAAGGAGAGAGGAACAGTTAGCGGTGATACGAGCGCGCTTATCGCGTATCAGAGCGAGTTTTTCTTCGTTTTTTGGCGATATAAGCGCGCTTATCGCGTTTCGGGGCGAGTTGTTTTTCTACGTTCGAGAATATTCGCGGCGTGATGAAGCGCGCACCGAGCGCTTTATTGAGATTAGCTGGAAAAGTGGTGAATATTTGAATTAGAAATATCGAGGATATACAGAATTTGGAAATATCTAATTGTTTGAAGAAGGAACTAAGCGAATGTTATATAGATGACTGTCTGTACTGTAAAGAAAAGATCAGCTTCGCGGAAGAGTTCGTGCGAGAGGCGAGCGAGGCGCGATTCGACGAGCCTTTCTCGAATGACGTTCTTTTATTAGCCGACGTCTTCGAAAATTTTCGCGACACGTGTATGAGAAGTTATAATTTAGATCCCGCATACTATTACACGTGAGAAAGAATCTGTATGGAGCGCGAGAAAGACGGACTCGCGCGTGTTTTTTCGAGTATTTCCACAAAATAAAAAATCATGCAAATTGCCGCTCTGTCCGATTCGCGGCGAATCCTAACCTAAGTCAGGATTTGCCACAAGTTAGATAGAGCAATAATTTCCGTGATTTTTTTATTATGTTCTCGAAAGCATTATATATCGAGCAACGCGAAAAAAGGTTACCGCGAGATACGACGTTCGCTTAACGACGCGATGAAGAATTCATATAAAGCGTGAGAAAGAGTCCGTATAAAGCGCGAAAGAGAAAACGCAGGACGCGGCGGCCGCGTAGCGGCGGGAGAAGGAATCTGTATGGAGCGCGAGAAAGACGGACTCGCGCGTGTTTTTTTGAGTATTTCCACAATAAAAAAATAATGGAAATCATCGCTCTGTTCCAATTTGCCACGATCTTGACTCAGATTATCGTCTATCCATTTATACGTTCCGCTTAGCGTGAAATATTTCCACATAGAATTTTTGAGTGTGCGATTAAATAGTTCGACGATCGATGCTTTCATCACCGAGTACGTCGAGTAATGATTCACTTCGCGCTTTTCCACGAATTTTCTCACTTCAGCGTTATAAAATTTTTTTCCTTTGTCGGTCTGCAGATTTTTCGGGCACCGCTTAGAGTCTCGCACTATCTTAGATAACCGCTTTTTGCTCGTGGGATCTCTACGAATTTCTGCTTCTACAGAGCCCGACTAAACATTCGTGGGCTGTCAAAGCGGCGACGCAACTCGAAAAACCGCGATACGTTATCTTCGCGCTACAGTCCGGAAAGAAGAACGTTCTATCCGAGGAGCCTTCCCTATTCGACGATTGCAAACTAACTAATGTCAAATTGTATCTTAATTCCGATTTTTATCTTTACGATGATATGAATTTAGATTTCGATAAGCGCAAAGTTGCAGTGCTATACGATATGTACTCAAAATTTCGAAGAACGTATTACGGATGCGACAATGACGAAGCGCTCTTAAATATGAATAAATTTTTAGTCTATGGCCCGCTCGTAGTCATCGATTGTTCACGACAAAACGAATCGATTAAAAGCGCCACCGTGGACGTTCGCATAGAGTTCGATTGCAAGGAGAATATTCCCTCTAATACCACAGCTTACTGTCTTATCATTCACGATCGAGTGGTGGAGTACAATCCGCTCACCAACGTTGTGCGCAGAATCGT